TTCTCAGCAACCCTCCTACTCGTTGCGGCCCAGAGTGCATGGGGGTTCCGCAGGGATGCAGAGGCGTCCTTATTGCTCCCCTTCTACTCTGACGAACCGCCAGTGATGGCAGGCATGGGCCTGATGCTCCAGCGCCAGCTATTTTCGGGGCTACCAAGCAAGATACCAGGCTTTCTCCATGGCACTCTTATTGGCTTCAAGTCTTCACAGCTCAGACAGGGCTCTTTAAAACATGATACTCCAGTCAAAGTTTTCGGTCAATAAAACCACTATTGGAAACCGGTCTTATTGAATTTATGCAAAGAAATGTATTGCCATGATTTATTTATTAAGTATTGCCAAATTTCGGAGGAATTACATAAGGAGAAAAAGCTACTGACCTGCCTTAAGATCTTCTGATTTTCCTTGCCAGTCCTTTTTATGGACTCTCCAGAGTTATAACAAAACAGTAACTGTTGGATTTCTTTTATCAGTCTCCACTAAGTACTTTGGCATAACTATTTACTCTCTGTTTAGGGAGGCAGACTCTTTCTGGCTTACTGGCCTGTATTATTTAATTAATTTCCTTTTAACATTTCTCTTCTCCTTCTTATTACATACATAACCTTTATAAATTTCATACTTTCAAATTAGCCTTTAAACCTTCTTTCTATGTCCTTTAAAAATGCATAACCATACCCTCAGACCTTCTACTCAGTAATTCCTTATTCTTGAAACCTCAATCCTTTAATGATTACTATAAAGTAAATAGCCAGTATTTCTTAGATTACTAAGAGCAGGTAAGAACTGCTTCCTTATGTAATTTCAAGTATATTGTATCAGTCTAATTTAGCATTGGAAGGGTTAAAGAGAACAAAACGGGACAGAGAAAAACTTGTGCTTAGTAGCAGCTTGTGGCCTTGAGTCCAGCATAGTTCAGATAAGTAAAAATCAACAAAAAGCTATCTCTCCCTGCCGACGCCCCCCCCTTTTCTGCATTAACCATTTACTCTGTCCTTAGCTGCTCTCCCTCCTAGATTTTTCCTTCTTTTCTCTAAGCCCAGAGGCTCAAATCCTTCTCCTCTTTTACCACTTTTGACCTCTCTGACTATCCCCCTGTCCTCCAGCCTAGGGCTCCTCCATCTCAGCAGGCTGAGAGCCTACTACCCTATCTAGCGAATCCTACCGCCACTACCCCATCTCACACCCACTTCAGAGCAGTTTTTGGCTCTCTTCCTCCCCCAGTCAGAGCGGATGCTGTCCTCAACAGAGACCTACTATAAATCTATCAGGAAGGGCAGGCAGGTCGCAGGTCTCGGGACCACATGATAAAAATCCAGCAGTCCCTCTCCCTCACCCTACACAGGCCATGAGAAAATGTACTAATCTTAACCTAACAAGCCTTTGTTTAAACTTCTTTGGGTTGCAACCTTATACCTTTAAATTAACTCTAGACTTCTAAAATTTTAACCTAACACAGCAAAATTATACATCAGGGCCAGAAGTGTCTGTCCACTCTCTCCAGATGCCGGCTGGGTCCTGGGCTGACATCCGGGACAGCCCAGAGTCCCCTGGTTCAATTCTGCTAAATCAGCAGAGTGGTCCCTCCTGGAGGCCTGTCAGGCTCCCCTGGCCCCAAACCTGGGCCACTTTCGTTCACAAAATTTCTGTAAATCAAAATAATTAACGGGGGTGGCGTAGTCTCTCCGCGTCTCTTCAAGTCTTGAAAATTCTCAAGAAAACATTGTAAGGGGATCGACGAAGACGACTGACCCTGACCCATTTTGACAAAGGCAAAGACAACAAAGAACAAAGACAAAACAAACCAGACAAATGCAACCTAAGGTTGCCCAGACCAGGACCCCCAGACACCGTCGTGTCCGGGCGGTCGGACTCCGAGGTTCCGCTGCGTCCAGCCCTCTTTTGAGTCCTAAAGGGAACGTTCCACAGACAGATACCAGATTCTTACCTCCCCGCTGGAGGTCCAGGTGGTTCGTTATTTTTGGATTGCAGTTTTGGGAGGAAAACACTCCACCTCCCTGGGACCCGGGATGGAGACTGGAGTGTCCTCGCCTGGGGCGTCCGGCAACTTGGCCGGAGTGGATCTCGCTGGGGCCTCCAAATGTAATGGGGCAACCCGCGGAGATGACTACCAGGGACTCAGATCAAGATTTAGGAGCCTTTATTAAGTCTTGACTACAGTTACGGCACCCTGCCGAAGCAGAAAGAAGGTTTAAAGGCTAATTTGAAAGTATGAAATTTATAAAGGTTATGTATGTTTTGTTCTCTTTAACCCTTCCAATACTAACCCAGCGACTACAGTTACAGCACCCTGCTGAAGCAAAGGCTGAACTGCAGTGCCGATTTCAGGAGTTACAGCATTTTTATTTGCAAAAACCACAAAGTTAGTTACAAAGCCTTGTTTACACAATTTGTTCCCGACACAGTACAGCATCAGTACAGTGACTACCTTCCTATCTATGTGTTCTAGGAACAGAGAGCACAGCGTGCCCCGCCTGGCCGAAGCGCCAGATATGCAGCCCAGCACAGTCTCAGCGGCTGGCTCAGGCACGGAAGGGACTTGGACCGGGATGGCTGTGAAGTCCTGGGCGGTCGGGAGGGGTGGTGGGGAGGCGAGGCTGGAGTCCTGGCAGGACTGGGTGTTTTTTGCATCTGAGTATCTGAAAGGACTCAAAAAGGAACTTGAGCTAAAGTTTTGTGGTTTTGTTTGTTTGTTTTGCTTTGTTTTTGTGTGCGTGTTGCTGGTTATTTCGAAGGTTGGTTTTTAGTTTAATTATGTTCTTCATTTGGGTGGTGCCGTAGGTAGGGTCCTTGGGAAGCTAACTCTGAGATGTCAGCTCTTGCACCAGGACAGTGTTAGGGAGTGCTCTTGATATCCACCCCGTGGAAGGAGGTGAAGGACGGGACCGCAGAAGCCCCGGGCGGCCTCCACCACCGCCTGAAGGTGTGGAGGGGGCGTTATGCACCTGTCCTCTCGTGGACCAGGAGTGGGTGCCGGCTGCCCTGCTGCATCGCTGGTGGGATGCCTGTCCTTGGGCAGTGCCATGTTCTGCTGTTCTCAGAGGGCTGACAGCCGAGGGCCTTCTTCTGGCAGCAGCCCCAGGGGCTGGGACAGTCATTTCTTCCTGAAGAGAGGTCTACTCCGCGCACCAGTGCCCATCACAGGGAGCAAATTGTAACATCTGAGGATTTTAACACGTTAAGCCCCATGTCAGTCACCAGTGACTATACTTTCCGTCTGGAAGACAAAACAGGCTGGGCGCTTAACGTGTTAAAGATAAAGTTAGAGCAGAAGAAGCTACTTGGACAAAAATCAAAGCATTTCATTATCCGCACTCTTTCCTTTTATCCTCACCTGAGGATATTTTCCCATTGATTTTTGTGTGTGTGTGTGAAAGAGTAAAGAGGAGGGGAGAGAGAGAAACATCAATGTGATAGAGATACATTGATTGGTTGCCTCCAGCACACACCCCAGCTGGGGCCAGGGTTGGAGCTTGCAACTGAGGGTACCTGCCCTTGACTGGGATCAAACCCAGGACTCATCCGTCCTCGGGCAGATGCTCTACCCACTGAGCCCCGGCCAGACTCCTGATTAAAACCTGAGCAAGAGACTTCCATGTCCTCAGTTTTCAGTTTAGTAAAGTATTTGACTTAATTTCTGTATCTCTTACTACATTTAATGAAATTTGACATTAAAGTGTAATGTCAAATATACAGTTACAGGGTAATATTAGAAAGAATTCATAGGTCAAATGGGCCTGACTTAAGAGAATGACATTTTATTACACAGTTTATCTGCATCAGACCAGTGACTTTTCTGAGAAACAGCATGGTGGATAAAAGTAAGGGAAAGGGGGTGGGAGTGACCTGGGTGCTAACCTCAGTTCTGCCATTTCCAAGGGGGGAGCTGGGCGGGGCCAGCCACCTAACCTGGAGTGAGTTCATTTTCTCATCTGTAAAATGGGGAGGGAAGACTTATCCGATTAATTCACAGTGTTTGTGAAACTAAAATAAATGCACATGAACACTAATGACAGAGAGGGGGAGAAGATAGATGATAGATAGATAGATAGATAGATAGCGAGAGAAGACAAGGGGGTTGAGAGGGGGAGGGGGAGGGGAGGGGCTTGAGCGTGTAGAGAGCCTCTAGCTCACCCTTCAGATGAGCAGAGGGAGCTCGGGGTCAAGGCCCTGCTCAGTTATGTGTAAAGGGAAATGCCTCGTATGTATCAGGGTGTTTGCATTTACCTCAGAAGGCAGGGTTCACACTCAAGGCTGCAAGTAAAGCTCCATGAGTTTGAGTGTTGAAACAGGAACGAGAACAGCGTGTGAGGTCCTCACCCTCCCGCAGTCCCGGCCCCTCCGTGCAGCCTGCTGCCTGCCTCCCGCCTGCTGTGGAATTAGCTCTGTCTCTCCACCCACCACACACCATCCTTCCCGTTCGGCAGGAGGAGATGCTGGTGAAGTTCCCTGAGCCCAGTTCTGGTCCTGGCTCTGTCTCAGAACCAGTGACGTGACCTTAGGCTTGTCACCTCCGTTCGTTGTGTAAAATTGGGTGATAATACTTGTCCTGCTGGTCTGTCATGCTTGTCTCAAGGATCAAGTGATACCATGTATGAGAAACATGCTGAAATGCACCAGATACCCTACAGATGCTCCTCCTCGGCCCGGCCGGTTTCCTGCCGGGATGTGGAGAAGTTGTGAACCGTGAAGTGCCATTTTGGGGAGCTGCTCTTGACTAGTGGGAATCTAATTAGATTACTGGGAGTCCCAGGGTGGGGGTGGGGTATAAAAAATGAAATAAATTGCATCTGAAAGAAATATTTTATTTCCACTAATAACAGAAGTATTGGCCTGCAATTGTAGCAAAGGCATTTGAAGAAGATTACTTAAGATATTGGGGTGAGACTGGCAAGAGCTTGACTCTTGAGTCCCTGCGCCTCGGGGGCTCAGGGCCTTCGCCAGGTGCTGCCCCTCCTGATGGGAGCCTCTCGTCCTAGGCTCGCTGGCGCCGGGCAGGGGAGCCGTGTACACTTCCAACCCCGAGGTCAAAATTCCCGAGGATAAACGTGAGTTGGGAGGAGCTGGGGGGGCGGGGGGGGGGAGCCAGCCAGGGTCCTGTCTTCTCTATTTGTTGCTGCTTCCTCCCACTCACATCGATCTTGTCTGTAGCCGCCAAGTTGTCCTGCTCCTACTCGGGCTTCTCCTCTCCCCGAGTGGAGTGGAAGTTTGCCCAGGGTGACATCACCAGCCTCGTCTGCTATAACAACAAGATCACAGGTGAGTCCTGCACCTGGATGCCAGGTCCCCAGGGCCTTCCCATCTCCTCGCTTAGGTGCCTCGGTGTCACGGGCACCAGCTTCTCCCAGCTCTCCAGCCCCCGCTACGCTGGCTCCTCTCCCCGCAGCTCCCTTTGAGGACAGAGTCACTTTCTCGAACACTGGCATCACCTTCCACTCCGTGACCCGGAAGGACACGGGGATGTACACGTGCATGGTCTCGGATGAAGGCGGCACCGCCTACGGGGAGGTCAGCGTCCAGCTCATTGTCCTTGGTATGTGCCAGGTCTCTGTGCCCACTGGGCATGGTTGCTTCCCCCAATGCTGGGTGGGCTCTGCCGAGCCTGGGAGCTCGCTGATGGTGAGGTGCTCTGGGTGGGGGCTCAGTCACAGGGAGGCAGGGAGGCCAGTGTGGAGGCTGGGGTAGCGCCCTCGTCAGCCACTTTGCCTCCAGGAGCCCTCCCTGCCCTGTGGTCAGCACCTTCTCTCCTTTCCAGTGCCGCCATCCAAACCCACGGTCACCATCCCCTCCTCCGCCACCATCGGGAGCCGGGCGGTGCTGACCTGTTCGGAGGCGGACGGCTCCCCGCCCTCTGAGTACCTGTGGTACAGGGATGGAGCCCTGATGCCTCTGGAGCCCAAGAGAAACCGTGCCTTCAGCAACTCTTCCTACAGCCTGAACCCCAAGACAGGGGAGCTGGTACGGACAGGCAGGCTGAAAAGGGTCGGGACACAGGGGCAGAAGCCCTGAAGGTGGGGAGGAGGGACAGCAGCAAGGCGCGCTGGGCTTTAGGATCCAGAGACATAAAAGGCAGGCACGTGGCTCTCGAGCGGGACAGATGGTTTTCTGCCCTGCAGGTCTTTGATCCCGTCTCGGCCTCTGATACCGGAGAATACTCTTGCCAGGCACAGAACGGGTACGGGACACCCATGATGTCCGATGCTGTGCGCATGGAGGCTGGTGCGTGCGGGCAGGGTGGCAGGGGCGGGGCTCAGACCTGGAGGGGGCGCTTGGGGTCTTTTCCTGCTGCTGGACCGTGTAGTTGGTACAGGAAGTGAGCATTCATGTGCCCGACCTCTCATTTGTGTCTCGTAGTGGAGCTGAATGTTGGGGGCATCGTGGCAGCTGTCCTAGTGACACTCATTCTCCTTGGATTCCTGATTTTCGGCATCTGGTTCGCCTACAGCCGTGGCTACTTTGACAGTAAGTCTTTGGCCTCAGAGGCTCTCTTCCGGTCCCCATGCTGGGCTCAGCTCCGGGGCGGTGTGGGGGCTGCATGCTGGCTCCCATCTTCCTGGCTGAGCTGTCTGTTCTGCTGACGTGCACCGTCCATTTCTTCTTTCAGGAAAGAAGAAAGGGTGAGTGAGGCGCTGTGCCGGGCTCTCCGAGGTGGAGAACATGGATGCGTGTGGTTTGATGCTGAGAGGGGCCCAGGGGAAGGGGGTGGAGGTGGAGGCCACGCCTGGCAGGGAGACATGAGTTTCTCTGGCTCACGGCGGTCTGTGCTGTCCTTTCCCCTCCACCCGCGTCCCCACCCGAGACCTCGTGATTCTGTCCGGTTCTCACTTCTGACCTCAAAGGTTGGCAAGGAGAGGGGCTCGGGTTTGACTGTCCCGTCTTCTGCAGGACCGAGAGCAAGAAGGTCATTTACAGCCAGCCCACCGCTCGGAGCGAGGCAAGTGTCGCAGGGGGAGGGGGCTCTGGGGCCTGGGTTTGTGTGTTCAGTATGTGAACTGAAGAAGATGAGAGGGCCCTGGCTCAGTGGATAGAGCGTCAGCCCACGGACTGCAGGGTCCCAGGTTCGATTCAGGTCAAGGGCATGTACTTTGGTTGCAGGATCCCTGGCCCGGGTGGGGCCTGTGCAGGAGGCAAGGAGGCAACCAGTGGATGTCTCTCTCTCTCCCGTTGCTGTTTCTCTCTCTCTCCCCCTCCCTTCCACTCTCTCTGAAAATCAATGGAAAAATATCCTCGGTGATAATTACCCCCCAAAAAAGAAGCAGCAGCAGCAGCAGAAGAAGAAGGCTGGAAAGATTGACGGGTTTCGTTTCCGCAGGGGGAATTCAGACAGACTTCATCCTTCCTGGTGTGAGCCTCCCTGGTCTCGCCGCCGCCGGACTCTGGCCCTGAAGCGCCGTCCACAGGAGGCCTGGCATCTTCCAGCCCCGCGGGCCCCCTCTGTCTTCACTGGGATGTGTTTTTAATGTCAGCTCAGCCCCCCGCACCCTCCCCTCCTTCCTGGCCCTGCCCGCAGCTCCCTGTCCTCGAAGATGCGGGAGCCCAGGGACCCTCAGCTCCTTCCTCCGATGGTGGACAGTGCCCGAGGTCTAGGGGTGGTTTGCCTGCATCAGTTTCTTCCGCCTCTGCGTCCCCCCCAAAGCGCACACCAGCAGACGGACCTCCCTGTGCCTGGAGGAGCCCGCCTGGTTGTGGGGAGCGTCCAAGCTTGCGGGGTGCGAAGCGGAGTCGCAGCGCTCGGCCCTGGAGGAGAAGCTGGAGCCCGCCCTGCCCGCACGTGGCCGCGCCCCGTGGGCCCGCGGGGTGGGCAGGAGTGCGTGCTCAGGGCTGCCTAGCTCTTCCGTGAGATTGTGTTGGTGTGTTTGGATGTTGCTGGAAATAAAACCTCGGATGGTGGAAGCTTCTGCTGTGAGTGGGAGGTGGTTCTTGGGCTCCTTTGTACTAACAAGGAAATGCCTAAAGCCCCGCTTCCCGCATTTGGTGGCCCCTGCCCCCTCCTCTCGAGGTGGAGCCTCCGGGACCTTGACCCTCCTCCCAGCCCCCTGTGGCGGCGCCCCGCTGGCTGGCGAGGGCTCCGCAGGGAGGCTGCTGGCGCAGCCTGTGGCCCGATCACCCCGCGAGGGAGCCAGTGTCTCCCCGCCCACCCCCACCCTGCCTCCAGCACCTGCACAGACCGCGCGGCCGCAGGCAGGGTTTCTCAGGCCTTTGAAGAGCTGCCCCGCCCGCGGGAGGTGGGCACCTGGTGCATCATCTGTGGGTGGGCGGTCAGGAAGGGACGGTCGTGCGTCTACGTGTGTGTGCGTGCGTGTGTGCGCGCGTGTCTGTGCGTGCGTGTGTGTGAGAGGGAGAGAGCAGGCCTGCCCAGCCTCGCCTTTCTCTCCCCATTCTCATCCTTTGCTCTAAAATGACCGTTTCCCCTCCACCCGCCCTGGCTTATGGCATAACCAGCAGATGCGGCTTTCCTAGCGGGGCGGGGCTGTTTCTGTGGGGAGGAAGCGCCCCTTCGCCCATTCTGCTGCCTGACTTGGAAATCCCTGGTGGAACCGAGTTTTCTATCCAGGTTCCAAAAGGAAAAACAAAAACAAGCAACCATCAGGTAAAAGTCACTCACCAATAAGACAGTTTTCCAGATGGAAATAAAATCCAATTAGCCAACGAAAGTATAGATGAGGACACGGTTTAGGAGGAATGGGAAGCACGTTTTGGATCTGTGTCCTGGTGGGAGGAATTGGGAGTGAGGGAAAGGCTGGCCTGTGATTCACGCGTGTCCGCTGTTACCGCCTTGGAATTCACCTCTGGCTACAACAGCCCCTTTGACTGGAAAACATGTCAGCTTTCTGGAATGTCAAAACCAATTTTTTAAATAAGTTGTTCACATTGAGTTTATTTAAATCCTGAAGTAATACATTTAAAGAATTTTGTCCTTCGAAGTCCTTCTGATAGTCTTACTGATTAAGAAATTTGCCCTGGCCAGTTTGGTTCACTGGGTAGAGCATCAGCCTGCGGACTGAAGGGTTCCAGGTTCAATCCTGGGTTGTGGGCTTGATCCCCAGTGGGGGCATGCAGGAGGCAGCCAATCCATGATTATCATCATTGATGTTTCTGTGTCCCTCTACCTCTCCCTTCTCTGTGAAATAAAAAGAAATTAGAGATAGCCTTCCCTAAGACTTGATGATTATACTTTAACTCAGTGGTTCTTAACCTTCCAAATGCCGCGACCCTTTAATACAGTTCCTCATGTTGTGGTGACCCCCAACCATAAAATTATTTTCGTTGCTACTTCATAACTGTAATCTTGCTACTGTTATGAATCATAATGTAAATATCTGATATGCCGGATGTATTTTCATTGTTACAAATTGAACATAATTAAAGCATAGTGATTAATCACAAGAACAATATGTAATTATATATGTGTTTTCCAATGGTCTTAGGCAACCCCTTTGAAAGGGTTGTTCGACCCCCAAAGGGGTCGTGACCCACAGGTGATTTTTGTCTTTCAGTTTGTTTATGTGATGTATCATGTTTATTGATTTGCGAATATTGTACCAGCCTTGCATCCCTGGAATAAGTCCCACTTGGTCATGGTGTATGATCTTTTTAATATATTGCTAGATGTAACTTGCTAATATTTTGTTGAGAATTTTAGCATCTATGTTCATCGGGGATAATGGGCTGTAATTCTCTTTCTTTGTAGTGTTTTTATCTGGTTTTGGAATTAGGATAAGGCTGGCCTCATAAAAAGAGCTTGGAAGTGTTCCTTCCTCTTGGATTTTCTGAAACAGTTTGAGGAATATAAGTGTCAGTTCTTCTTTGGATGTTTGGTAAAACTCCCCTGTGAAGCCATGCAGACCAGGGCTTTTGTTTGCTGGTAGTGTTTTGATTACTGCTTCTATTTCCTCGGTTGTTACTGGCCTATTCAGGTTTTCTGATTCTTCCTGATTCAGTTTTGGGAGATTGTATTTTTCTAGGAATTTGTCCATTTCATCCACATTTTCCAGCTTGTTGGCATGTAGTTGTTCCTGATATTTTCTTACAATCCTTTCTTCAGTGCTTTCGTTTCTGATGTTAATGATGCGGGTCATCTCTCTTTGTTTCTTGATAAGTCTGGCTAACGCTTCATCAACCTTATATATGTTTTCAAAGAACAAGCTCTTGGTTTCATTGATTTTTTATTTATTTATTTATTTTTTTAGTATCTATGTCATTTATTTCTGCTCTAATCTTTATTATTTCCTTCCTTCTACTTATGCTGGGTTTTTCTTGTTCTCTTTCTAGTTCTTTAAATTGTAGGGTTAAATAGTTTATTATTCTTTTTTGTTTGTTTTTTCTGAGGTATGTCTGTAGTGCTATGAACTCAGGACTCTCAGGACTGCTTTTGCTGTGTCCCAAAGATTTGGGGTTGTTCTGTGTTCATTTTCATTTGTTTAGTGTAAGTTTTTGATTTCTTTCTTGATGTCATTGGTAAGCCATTCATTGTTTAATAACATGCTATTTAGCCTTTATATGTTTGAATGTTTGAGGTGTTTTTACTGTAGATGATTTCTAATTTCATTCCGCTGTGATCTGAGAAGACGCTTGATATGATTTCAATCTTCTTGAACTTGTAGAGACTTGTTTTGTGTCCTAACATGTGGTCTATTTTTGTCAATGGTCCATGTGCACTTGGGAGGAATGTATATTCTGCTGCTTTTGGGTGAAATGTTCTATAAATGTCAACTAAATCCATCTGATCCAGTGTGTCCTTTAGGGTCACTATTTCCTTGTTAATTTTCAGTCTGGAAGATCTATCCAGTGAAGTCAGTGGGTATTAAAGTCCCTACTATGACTGTATTGTTGTCGATCTCTCCCTTAATGTCCTCTAGAATTTTTTTTTATATATTTAGGTGCTCCTATATTGGGTGGATATCTGTTTACCAGGGTTATATCCTCTTGTTGGATCAATCCCTTTAGTATTATGTAGTGACCTGTGTTGTCTCTTGTGATGGCCTTTATTTTAAAGTCTATTTTGACGGATATGAGTATTGCTAGCCCAGCTTTTTTTTCTTTTCCATTTGCATGGAAAGTTTTTTTATATCCCTTCACACTCATCCTGTGTGTGTCTTTTGTTCTGAGTGGGTCTCTTGTAGACAGCATATAGTTGGGTCATGTTTTTTTTTGGGGGGGGGTATGTTTTTGTATCCACTCAGCAACCTTATGCCTTTTGATTGGAGCATTTAATCCATTTACATTTAAGGTTATTATTATTTTTTAAATTAAATCTTTATTGTTCAGATTATTACAGTTGTTCCTCTTTTTTCCTCCCCATATCTCTCCTCCACCCAGTTCCCACCCCACCCTCTGCCCTAACCCCCTCCCCCAACTTCCTCATCCAAAGGTGTACGATTTTTGTCCAGTCTCTTCCCGCACCCCCCACACTCCTTTCCCCCGCAAGAATAGTCAGTCCACTTCCTTTCTATGCCCCTGATTCTATTATATTCACCAGTTCATTCTGTTCATCAGATTATTTATTCACTTGATTTTTAGATTCACTTGTTGATAGATGTGTAGTTGTTGTTCATAATTTGTATCTTTACCTTTTTCTTCTTCTTCCTCTTCTTAAAGGATACCTTTCAGCATTTCATATAATACTGGTTTGGTGGTGATGAACTCCTTTAGCTTTTCCTTATCTGTGAAGCTCTTTATCTGATCTTCAATTCTGAATGATAGCTTTGCTGGGTAAAGTAATCTTGGTTGTAGGTTCTTGGTATTCATCACTTTGAATATTTCTTGCCATTCCCTTCTGGCCTGCATGGTTTCTGTTGAGAAATCAGCTGAGAGTCGTATGGGTACTCCCTTGTAGATAACTGACTTTTTTTCACTTGCTGCTTTTAAGATTCTCTCTTTGTCTTTTGCTCTTGGCATTTTAATTATGATGTGTCTTGGTGTGGTCCTCTTTGGATTCCTTTTGTTTGGGGTTCTCTGGGCTTCCTGGACTTGTAAGTCTATTTCTTTCACCAGGTAAGGGAAGTTTTCTGTCATTATTTCTTCAAATAGGTTTTCAATATCTTGCCCTCTCTCTTCTTCTGGCACCCCCATAATTCGGATGTTGTTACGTTTGAAGTTGTCCCAGAGGTTCCTTACACTATCTTCATATTTTTGGATTCTTTTTTCTTTTTGTTTTTCCTGTTGGGTGTTTTTTGCTTCTTCATATTTCAAATCTTTGACTTGATTCTTGCAATCTTCTAGTCTGCTATTGGAACTCTGTATAATATTCTTCATTTCAGTCAGTGTATGCAAAATTTCTAGTTGGTCCTTTTTCATAACCTTGAGGGTCTCACTAGATTTCTTGAGGGTCTCACTAAGTTTATCGGCGGTTTCTAGAGAATTCTTGAAAAACCTTAATAAAAGTGTGGTTTTGAAGTCTATATCCAATAATTTGCTTTCCTCCATTTCTGTCATTTGTGACCTGTTTCTTTGTCTCCGCATATTTTATGCTTCCCTGTGTTGATAGAGTGGTTTTCTGTGCTAGGTGTCCTATAGGGCCCAGTGGCTCAGCTTCCCCAGTTACGGGAGGTGGACACTCTTGGTGCACCCCCTAGTGGGCTTTGTGCACAGTCTTGTTGTAGTTAAGCCTTGATTGTTGTAGGTATCACTGGGAGGAATTGACCTCCAGGTCAATTGGCTGTGAGAATCAGCTATGTCTGCAGTGGGAGAACTTCTGTGCTGGAGACACCCTTCTGGGGCAAGACTTGCTTCAGTGGGGCTTTGGTGCTCATTGAGTCTGCCCCCTGAGTGTGTCCCTTATGGATCTGAGGAGTTGTAATCTGGATGGTCCCACTCTGACCACTGGGTACACTGGCTCTTGGATCTCTAAGGAGGTGCTAATTTAGCCTCTGCCTGAGGCTACCCAGCAGGAGCTATG